CCTCCCCTGCTCCTTAGCAGGACGGATGGCATATAAAGAGGTCAAAGAGACTACCAGTGTCATGCCACAAATCAGTGGATCAGCTTAGAGGAGAGCCCAAAAGGCTCCTGCTCATCTGGTGTAAACTGACTCATTCTGCTGTAGTCAACAGAGGATCTGACAGCAGCAGATTTGCCCCAAGAGCTTCAGAATTCCCACTTTAGATTTATCTAACTGGTATTTCAGATCCTCTTTCTCTTCTGTCAGTGGCAGAGATTTTATTAAAATCATCCTAATAAATATATTTCAACTACAGCTTCATAGGATATCCATACTTCCCTCCCTGCCCACAAATAATACATTATGTATATGTGATTATAAAAATACCAGCAGCTAATTTAGTTTAATTTAAATTTAGATTTTGCCCTAAACAAATACTGATGTGCCCTGTATATTTTTACTGCCAGATCATGATTTACTAACTCCATTTTGAGGGTTAAAGAGAGCATGACCTTGCCCCATATTAATATTTAAAGATTACCCTGCACATGAAATCAGATGCTGACACAAGTCTCAAAGGACTAAAAGGTTTTTAATCTTTTGAAGAAGCAGTGCCACACTGAAATATGTATTACTACATTCAAAACACAGCATGTAACAAATGTCCCACTAGCAGGCATCAGAGACTGCAAATTTCATTCAGTGTAATATGGTCCACAAATATCAACTTTCTTCTAGAAGGGAAATTGCAATGCCACAAAGGCCAAGACTTGACATCATAGCAAAGGCAAGCAGCTGCATCTCAGATATTGCATTAAAAAGAGTTTTCCATCCAATCCTAAATGCAGGAGCCATTTAGTGCCCTTTTCAAGGCAATATATAGATTTTTCTCTTTCCAAAAAGTGCAAGTTTACTTACATTTCTGTACAAATGCAATTTAGAACAGTTTAGGAACCATGTGATGCTTTGTTTCTACAACAGCATAAGCCTAAAATATGAAAATCTCCTGATTTTTCTTTTAATACAGTTTAAAGGAAAGCCAGAACTATTTTAATAGAAAACAGAAACAGCTGATGTTTAACATAAATGAATAATTTTACAACTGTTTTTAGAGCATAGTTATTTTTCCACGCTTAGCCTATCAGCATTTTTAATTCATGTCTTTCCACTACACCTAAGCTTCAAATAAAAATATGAGCTTGCAAGCTGTAGAAAAGAAAAGAGTAATTAGTTTCTCATTTCATTTTGGGTGTACTCAGTTTGTATGAAAATGCTATATATGAGGTCTCTAAATAGAATAGTTCCTGTGTTTTGATAGCATCATGGAGGTGTTACAGGAAAATTATGGCTTTATGGTTTACCCAGTCTCCTTTCAGGTAGGTGACAGAGGTGGCAGCCTACCACTCCTGGTCTCTTGGGTCGTATTTCTGACAGGTAATTGCAGACTGGTGCCTCTGGGAGCTTGCTATGGTGCTGTCAGAAAGCACTGGTACAGTTTGGAGGTAGGTCAACCAAACTTTAGATTGATGTAGAGGAATTTGGGTACAAGAGGATTCCAGCTTGAGCAATTAGCCTGTGAATGTGCATATTCATTTCTAGATCATCAGCTGAGAGTCACCACTTTATTTGCCAATAGATTTATATTCAATTGCAATAGACATTAAAATGAAAAGGAGCTAGACCTGCTGTTTGGGAGTTATGGAGGTAGTGCTGGAAAATTTGGTGCAAGGAGAATAAGAAGATCCCTTCTTGAAGATGCAGCTCTCCTTGCCATGTAGCACTGAAGGCTCCCACCTGACCGTACTCTGGGTGCTGTCTGTGCCGCTGAAGGTCTGCATTGTTGTAGCCTAACCCTCACCTGGCTATTTTACAAGCAGGGTGAACCTTCTTTGTTCCCTTTACAACCACTAAGGACCTTTAATATTCCTTTTCCCTTAGCATGTCTGCCCCAGACCCATCTTTCTTCCGGCTGTCCTTTCCCTCAGCAAGGTAATGAGAAATGGGAGCAGATGCCAGAGAAACACATGCACTTTCTAATTGAGTGAGGACATAGAAAGGGACAATAAAAACTGTGTGGAGACTTTTGCTTTCAGTACCTTCTAAACATTTGGTCTTGGTTCAGCGCAATTGCCAGTCAGCTAGTCTGTTTCCCTCTAAATTTGCTTATCCTGTCAGATTTTTGTGGAGGCAACATTTATTAGAAGTTTTTTGGTCACTGTAACACAATTTGATCTATTTTATCCAAAATGAGTGTTTTTCCCAGCGTGACTTACTTAGAACTTCATACTGCTAAGTCTCCAAAGAAAAATTTTAGTGAGTCACAAGCAGGGTGGCACGATGCCCTTCACAGAAATAACAACTACAGATGCATAAAAAAATTAGAATTTAAGAATCTGAAGTTCTTCGCAAAATCTGCAAGACTTTTTATTATCAACATTGCTGATAATACAAATGGGAATGAAGCAACTGATAAGTGTTCTGGTCCAATGAATTCACCTACTGCTTATGATCCTTCCAGTCATATTTTTAACTGTTTTGGCATTCACTATTAAATCTCCCTAAATAGTCTTCTTGCTGGTTCAGTGCTCTCGACCAGGAAGCTTGTGAGTTCGTGAGGATTTGTACTTGATCATGAATGATTCATGAAATGAGCTTAGAAAACTAAGTTTAACATCTTATTCAATGCTGAAGAAAAAAAGAGCATCTTCTCCCATACTTGTAACAACTTGGCTAAAAAGGAAAGAGTCTCAGTGTCTCATTTTAAACGCTGAAATTCAGAGCATCTGTTGCCTTTCCAGCTAAACATCATATCTACTACGAAGCAAGGGGAAGCATTTTAATTTACTACTGTAGCCAGTTTTGTTTTTCACTCTGCTAATACATTTGACCACATACCAGCAGCACACCACAGCCAGCCTATTGGGGTGCAGCTGACAGCTGCTAACAGCCCGTGTTGCCATTTCTCACTCGCATTTAATCAGGTGTTAGATTTTTCTCTAAAAGCTATGTCTGAAGTCAGTTGATCTTGTTTTGTTTGTTTACGAGTGATTCTCTATCCTTCTTAGAACAAAAGAAAGCATATAACCTGGGGTGTTAGGTTCTGGTGCCTCTCCTTCCTTCTCCTCTCCCTTGACCTCTCTGTCCATGGCACACAGGAATGTTCCGTTTCTGATGCATAAGTATGGCATTCATAGTCTGGGAACTTAGAGCACTATTCCCCTGCTGTGCATATCCGTACAGATGATGTTTGAGTATTGGTTTTCTCACCAGTGAAATGGGGATAATTGTGTTGTTTTGATGTACTGATAAAAATGCTTTGTAAAAGCTAAATATTTCTTTGTGGAACATGCCATAACATGTTTGGAAGTTCTGTATAGCAAAGGGTAGGACTATGACAGAGGCATGGATCTGATGCAAAAAAAATCAGGACAAAACAGAGAAGGAGGTCCATGGCTATTCCCTTGCTGTTCTTTGTCTCCTATTGTAAGAGGATGAGGATATCGCTATGTAAGAGCATGAGGATTTTTTTCCTCTTCCTTTGCTGAGTGAAAAGACAACAACACAGAATACATCTAGGGACACCTGCTGAGAGAATAAAACACAGTAAACATGAGCATGCTATGGTGAGAGACATATTTTGCTTGTACAATAGACGTTTTGATCTAGAGTTATAGAAAGTTTAAACATAACCTGTAAATTAAAATCAATTCCAATGCTTTTTTTTATTCAACCTCAGGGGTTTTTTTTTTTGTGCTTTGGGTTTTTTTTAAGCTGGAAAAATTTTGATCTCATGGTTAAGGGAATTATGAAAAAAAAAAGAAGTACTTCTAAACAAGGTCTTCTAAGGTGTCCCCTGGGTCTACAATTTTAAGCTGGTCTTGCATTAATTGCAGTTTCTCTGGCTGTTTGTTAGGCCATTGCCATGCTGTGTTAAGGTCTCGATGCTTTTATCTAGCCCTCCCCTATTCTCTGTTTGTTCTTCAGCAAGGATGAGAGGAGCCCTTACAGTATGCAAATACATAATGCTTTCTATGCTTCTTTCTTTAGAGACATAAAAGGATTTTTTTAAAAAGGCAAGTTGAATACATAGCAATAAAGATGTAAATCTTCAGAAGCAGGCAAGCTACACTCCCTCTGCACTTCACAAATGAAGCACGGTTTTTGCAAAGAAAGAGTTTGTTAGGAGAACCAGAGGAAGCAGGATTTCCATAATGATTTGCAAGGAAAAATTCTGTAACACATGGCACCGTATTTCCTTCAGAACTGCAATCCCCTTGGGACCAAATTCTTTACTACTTAATCACTGCAGTAATTAGAGATGATGTTGGCAAGTGTTCATTGAACGTTGTGTCATTTTACATCTTAAAACCTTTTGGCATTACTTTCCATTTCCTTTATTTGGTGTGTTCTGGCCCATCCCTGGATGATTAGACACAGCTGGCCTTTGCTTTGGGACCAGGTCAGTTTTGCAATTAAGAGCTGTGTTGGTCTGGACTGATAAAAACATGGACTAAATAATTGTATTTATGGTTTATAAATTACTTTTCCACTAAACATTTTTTATAATGACTTGTACACAAGCGACATGATGCGAAACAAATCTCTGAGTGAAACAGAGGATTCCAGCCACAAAAAAATGGCTTTGTCCTGCAATGAGCCTCCAAATGGGGAAATCTGCAGTAACAAAGTATGAATAAACATCAGTCTGGATGAAGCAGAGCTCTGTAGATGAAGAATAATGTTGTAGCATCAAACCTATGTGCAGGAGGTGGCCATGATTATGAAGAGTGCCCTGGGGAGCTCGGGTGGCAAGTGGGACCACAAGCAGCATCTGCCTAAAGCTATTCCTTCCCCTCTCTGCTGTTCTGTATAGGCTGGCCAATATGATGTCAGATGAAGAGAAAGAAAAAAATGAAAGGGCTGTTCAACACCTTTATCTGTCATTTGAAACATCTGTTGGTAAGGCTAGGGGGGGACTGCTGTTGTGGTTTTAATAATAGCCTGGTTTCTCTGCATTGCAGGTCTGTGCCTGTAGAAAAGTAGAAAAGATTCTTCTCACAAGATATCATAACAGGTGAAAACTACATGCATACTATTCAGTTTCCTAAAATCCAAGTATCATTACCTATGGTGACTAACTTTTCAAGACAGCAGTGCACAGTGGAAGATCCCTGCACTACTATTGTAGGCTTCTTTTGGCCTTTTACACTCTAGATCTTAATCTTCATTTTTCAAAATGTTCACGTGTGTGTGTGTTTTACTTTTTTGGATAAGCTTTGATGAGGCACTGAAGCCTTTCAAAGGTTAGATATGGAGGGTGCAGCAATGGCATGGCTGTGATGCACTCTTCTCCCTGACACCACATATTTAAATATCCTTTCAGCTGGGCAGGCATTGTGGTGTCCCTCATAATTTGGTTTGGTCTTGGACAAAGGGTTCTAATTTCTTATTTCAGTCTCATTTCTCAAAGACTGAAACAGAAAATTCATCAAATTTAAAGTTCAACTTAAATGACAATTTGTGTGAATAACGACCTTTTAAAAGACAAGATGGTATATTATAACATCTTTTGAAATGCTTTCAGAGGAGAAAAACACAGTAAAAATTATATGACAAATATAAAAAAAGGGAAAACAAACTTAGTAACATAAGCAGCCATTATGCTTTTAAATTATCTCTCCACAGCCTACAGATCTTTACTTTACTCACACATACCATATATCTAGCAAAAAGAGAAATAATACTTTTTTTACCACTCAATTATAATTGATATACTACTGTATCATTTTAAAATGTGTGAAAGCTAAAAAGTACACAAACAAAAAAATTAAAATTGCAGGCAAGGAACAGCATATAAAAAGTGATAGAACTTTCTAAGCTAGTTTTATATACATCCCCCTCTCCCTCTATATGTATGTTCTAGAGGCAGACAAGAAGTGCTAATGAAAATTGGTAATGTGTAATAGCTCAAAACCGATTAAAGAAAATTACCTCTCCTTTTAATTCTGCTTACAAGCCTTTTCTGCAATATTGATTATTTTTCAGAGGTAAGTGATAGTATCTATTCTTTCTGCAATTAATCCATATGTTCATTTTGCATAGTAGTTTTAGAAATCCATTGAGGTCCATGATTAACAGCATGCTGGTAACTCTAAAATAAAGCTAGTTCTGTGAAAGTTTCTAAGAAAAAATCTGACCTAAGGTTGATCGCTCTGCTGCTGTGATAAAGACATTTATTAACGCATTAACTGTCTGATATACCAGAGGACAGGTTCTGGAATAATTTGAAACTAGAATTCAAATTGCACCCAGCCAATTGTTTGCTTTCTCCAACACTAGTGCTTAAAATTCCAGAGCTGTGACCAAACAGCAAATGTGCATGACAAATCCACTATTTATGATTTTGTTTGCTACCCTTAAATAATTTTGATGTTTCTTTTTTATTTCATTTCAGAGTCTATCCCTTATGTATATCTTCCAAGAGGGGATGCTAGTTTTGTGCTGAAAGTTGTATCTCTCAGTCTTTGTTACACTTATCATATATGCTATACTGATACCAAAGGGGAGTACATTTTTGAGCATATTTATGCAGACAATTCAGGCATTACTTTCTTTTCTCCTTTTCCAGTGCAAATGCTCCCGAACTACCACAGAGCAGAAGGTATTATGGGATGCACCTTAAACAAAACGCTGAACACAGGCTGAGTGGCTGCAAGGCCAGATACCTTGATAGTGTGAATGGGATTATAAGAGTATTAGAAGTTCCCAAATCCTGTTGCGCTGGTATAATATAGACAAGTTTCTATATCTTACTTTTTGTTTCCATCCCTTTTAGTGCCTTTACATCCATTTAATGGGTTAATAATAACAAACAGGATGTGCTAGTCTCTGCTGTTCACCCCCTCCAGGATGACCAGCCCTCCTTTGTTTTAAAAAAGACTACGAAAAGTGTAAGAATGAATGTTTACAGCTTGGCTCTGTCCTACATCCCATGCTGATGGACAGACTATACATTAGGCAAGATTTGGCAACCTCGGGGGCACAGACTTTGTCTGAGGCTTGCCCTCTTGATCTCACCAGGAGCTGGGATCCAGATGAATCCAGAGGCAGTGTGGGCAAATGCCCAGCCCTGAATGGTAGACTCTACTTTCTCCGGTGCTCTGCTTTTTATTCTTTTTTTTTTTTTTTTTTGATAACAATAAGAATCACCTTAAAAATAAGAATCCTCCTCCATTTGAAGGGTGAGTTAAAAATCAGCGTGGATAGGCAAATGGCAGAAATACAGCAGACCTTACTAGGTTTTCTGCTTTTAAGCTTAGGACACATTTTTTTGGGAAAACAAAACAAACCAAAATGCATCCTTTTCTCATTGGAATAGACAACCTGTTTTCTCTTTTGAGGCTCACAGACACCTGCTCCAGTCCTCCCCAAAGAAGAATTTGGGTTCTAAAACAAAGAGAATTATATGCTAGCCTCTGCTTTTGACCACTTTAAATCCAGACGGTATTTTGCACAATATTCTTTGTTCTGTCAGATGTATAGGAATTCTACTGTGTTGCAAAAAAAACCTATGCACTGTTAAAATGAGTTTTACTTTCTAAGTCATGTCACAGTAAATTGCCTTTGAGTGTATTATAAAAATTGCTGTACTTCCTGCGAGAAAAGTTTCCTATACTATTTTTTAAATTTCTATCTGTTGTTTCAAAAGAAAGAAAATCTGCAAAATTTTAAATTATGTTTGCCTACAAAGGCAGTAAATTTGGAAATGTTCTTTATATTTTAAGTTACAGCAATGGCACAATTTCCATATGTGTTTCATATAAATATAGATTAGGATAAATGTAGCAGGCTGAGCTAAAACTACCATCCGAAATCCCAATACTTTTGATTGTTAAGTTTCTGAATAACAGCTTAAGTGATGTATGCTTTTAAGAGTTACATTCTGAAAGGAGGGTTATATATGCCTTCCAGCCAGGAGACCAAGCACAGCATGGGTGAAAATCAGTAGCAATTGTGCAGTGGGTTATGTCTATGTGAGAGTTATTTATGTCTCCATCATACGGTCACAAGGAGTGCCCCTCTGGTTGGGAGCCTTAGCAGAGAGGTCACGGGCTCTAGGCGGAGGTAGACTGAGTTTTCTTCTCAGGCTTTGATGGACTTTACCAGGTCTGTGTCTGTTACCATAGTTTCCATTTTGTTCTCGAGATAAGAAATGGAAGTGTGTAGTTCACAGAGGCCTTGATCAGTCAGTTGACATAGGGTCCCTGCCCGCAGTGAGGTTTAAGGGAATGAGAAGTAACTATGCAGAGTCCTGTTGTGTGTAGGTAAAAATCAGTCTTTTTTTTTCTTTTTTTTTTTTCTCTTTTTTTTTTTTTTTTCTTTCTTTCCTTGTTTGCTTGCTTTTAGCCATATCCCTGTTCCCAGAAATTTGGTGTGACATCTGAATCACCAGCTAGGTAAAAGGATATCTTCAGCACAGTTTTATAAGAAGTATTGTCTAATGATTGCATATTCCAGAAACTCAGCTGTTTGTGAGCCCTTCGGTGAACTTGTTGAGCTCCACCCCTTTTGGCTATGGATATTCTTATTCTTATTATTGGGTGTCCTACTCACTCTGTTTGTGCTACTGTTTCCTTTCTGTTCTTGGGCTGTCTGCGCTTGCAAGACCACTCAGAAATTTCAGACCAGTAAGGACAGGACAGTACCTGGACTGAAGCACTAAGAAGTTTAAAAAGCAGCAGCTGTAGTTAATCACCACTAATAATACCTCTTTCACAGAATCAATAATTGCCTTCTAATATCCTCTCCCTCCCTAAAATCACTGTTCCTTCCACCACAAGAAAGGCTATGAGAAGGCTAGGGAAAAGCCTTCACTGCCCATCACTCTCTCTATTTTGCTGTCAGTAGCAATTTCTGATCACTTTGTTCCTATGCCAGCATCATTCCCTCTACTTTTTTCAGCTCTGGGCACTGGCCAGTACTTTACAGTTAATGCAAGTATTGTTGTGCAGAAGTAGTACTTTCTGTCACTATTCCTTTTACCTTAATAAATAGATATTATCTGCAAGTGAAGAAAGGCAGTATGCATTTTCTTTTAATTTATTTTGCAGGCACTGTTAAAAGGTAGGGAACTCGTTATATTCCAGCCATACAGGAAGTTTTATTTACAATTTCTTAACTCAATGCAGCCATGGTAAATTATATCAGCCCTTCAATTCGTGCATTATCATTACTTCCTTACTTTCATACCCTTTCCAGAATCACACTACCACTGACCTGATGAACCCATTTTCTTTTAAAATCACTCCTACTTTATGTTTAGAGATTGCTTGGAAAAACTCAATGGCAACAGCTAAAAGAGCAGGCAAGTTGGCCATGTATAATCAAAAGGTCAGTCTATTTTCAGATGCTTGTTTGGGGCCACTGCTGAAGAAAGCAGGGAGCCATCTGTACCCGTACAGGTGTCAAAAGTTTGTTCGCACAAATACTGCAGAGGGCAATGCCAGGGAAAACAGCCCTGACTCCTCTGATGCCTCCTGTTTGATCATGGATGCTGGAGAGGGCCTGAGATGACACTCATCCCGGGACACAACCGACTGACCTCACACCTGCCCAGAAGCAGTGATTCAATTCTTATGCTGAAGCTTTGAAGGAAGGGGACTCTCACACTTTCCCAAGCACTGACAGCTAGGCTGATAGATATAGCTGAAGTGAATGGGTGACAGTATGATAGGGATCAATGACTCTTTGAGGTTTACTTACCTTTTCTGCAGAGATCAAAACTTTCAGTGTGAACTGCTAACACAGCTGTTTGCAGTTTTCTCTTCAACTATCCCTGTCAACTACATCATCATCATGGAACAGTAGCCAACACCCTGCTGGGACTATAACCGCAGCCCTCCATTCTCTATTTGTGGGATACATCTATAGACTTGAGCTCCAGCAACACAGGATCCCTTCCCTTTTCTTGAGGCTCCTTACCCTGCTTTTGTCTCAATCCTCTAAACCTCTAATTATCCAGTTGACCAAGGCAGC